ACGAAGAAATAGTGCTGGAGCAAATTTAAGATCAACAACAGCAGGAGAGATGACAACACCGAGCAGAAAATATAGTAATGTTCAACCACGTATAAACACAAATTTATCAATTAGTTTTGATAATCTTGATACGAGTATGAAACGAGCCGATTCGAGTCAAAGCATTGTTGAGAGCGTTTACTTGGAATGGTTAAAAGAAAAAACGGAAACAAAACGACGCGAAAAACAAGAACGCGCTGAATGGGAAAGAGAAAACTTAAAAAAAATAGATAAAGATCTGATAGAAAAAAAGATACTACAAGATGCACAAAATCTTGAACAATGGCGACGAAAAAAAACAGAGGAAGATTATCAAAACCGTTTGAAGCAACTTCGACTGCAACGAGAAGAAGCTGAAAAACGTAAAAATGAACGAGATGACAAAATAAAAGAAGCAAAGATAAATTTTGATGCATGGGAAAAAAAGAAAAATGAAACATGGTCGCAAACAATTATAGAAAATAAACAACAAAAAACTGATCTGGAAAATAGACAAGAAGAAAAACAAAAGAAGATCTTAGTTGCGGAAAGAGCGTACATTATGTGGAAAAAGAAAAAGGATAAACACCTAACGCAGAAAACTAAAACACAAAACGAATTAAAAGAAGAGGAATTAAAAAGGTTACGTGAAAATGAAGAAAAAAAATTTGTGAATGCACAAGAAGAATATGAAAAATGGATTCGTAAAAAAGAACAATATGATTCAATCAAAGATAAACAACAAACACCAGTTATTACTACGCCGTTCTTACCAGGAGGTACGCCAAACAATACGGGACGAATAAGGCATAATTTTTGGTTGATCAAGACTAATCAAAGTTGGATGAAGTGAGGAATTCTTATTCGTAACGAATCTAAAATATTCGCCAGTAAAAATATAAATTAACTGCCTTCTCAATCATGTGATTAGGCAAATGTATAACGATTTCCTTTTATACAGTTGACTCCATGCCACAGGCGAGGTGTACTTATTCGATTATGAGGAAACTATCAATCATGCTAAGTTTTGATTTTTAGTTGATATTATCTACGGAAGAAGAATGATAACAGATAAATACTGAATGACTTCGGATAGAAAACAGACCAAGAGCTGCGTTTTTTTGTCATTTTGTAACTAAGACTCTAGTTCGTATGTCTGTAAGAAACTGAATTTTAAGATGTGCCATGAATGTGGGATAGCGAAAAGATCTTGAAAAAACTAGATTGCCAATCTGTAAACTATCATACTGACCTGTATGCTCATAACTTATGTCCTAACTCATTCAAAATCAATAATGTAAGGCTGAAACGTTTAAAACACACGTAAAATCACTTGTTCTTACTGATCGAAGGCAGAGAAATAATAAACTATTTTTATTTAACTGTACAATTCTGCAAGAATCACGCTAGAAAACTATCTAATATTCTTCACAAATTTACCGTCCTGAAAGAATAGAGCAGAGAAGTCTGATTAGAAGTTAAATTGTCTAAACAATTTGGTTACATTTTGTTTGACTTTTTTATTTTCATGAATACAAAATAAAATGGCTGTTTCCTCTCAAGTGTGTCGTCCGCCACTCATTTGTTTCATTTTTCCACAGAATCAAACATTGTTATAGGATGCAAGATCGTCAATCACTCATTTTTCTAGCTATTTCCGCAATTCTAAGACGTTGATTTATTCTCAAGCTTCCTATAAAAACTGATGTCACATCCAAACTATGAAAGACAACGTGATCTTGGTTGCGTAGTACTAGTAGAAGATATTTCAGACTATAAGTATTCTGATTTTCTGTGGTCATTGCTATTCTAACTCTATAGTTTGTTTTATAATAAAACAAATTTTATCTTTCCACAATCATTTTTTTTTTGCAAAGAAGTGTTTACTGATCACGGCATTCTACCTTTCTATTATAGTAGCTTCTAAATATAATGTCAAATTGTGTGATTTGTGGATATCATGCATTTCATGAATATATAATAATTGTTTTGTTTGCAATTTGTAGCTACAGTCATCATCAGATCTTGCTCTGGGCTGCCAAGGCCGCGGGCGCAGATGAGTCCAACATCGCTTTTACCAAGAATACAGGACAATTAGATGTTTCGTCTTAATAACGCGATGCTGGAGTATCTTCTCCAGGCGCTGTTTTACTCGGGCGGTCGTCAGCAACCCGAAACCTCCTTTAGTTAAGTTCGCATCAGAGGACCCTGCGAACATAATGGGATTACGTTGATAGATTATTGAGTTTTTCGCTTGTGCATTAAATGGATAAGTGCACTGTGTGGACTGTTTATTTCCACCGTTTTCTATGTCGTTTGGAGAAACAATCTTGAATCTATCTCACTAACTGTTCCAGAATTAGAACAACTGGCACGAGACAAAGCTGAATACAGAAGAATGATATATAGCATTTCGATGTAGTTAATAATTTTAGGCCTGGACTCATTTTGCTTTCTTGTGTAATTTTCTGTAATTAAAGTACTTGACCCAGTATTTTTCAGAGAGAGAGAATTTCGTAACAGAAAACCTTTTTAAAGATGAAAATGAGAGAAAAAAAACGCTGAGCAAATAAATAAAATAGAAATGCTATCCAAATTCCGTCTGTTCTACTAATGCAATCACAGTGCTAATTGCAATTGCAGTACTAATGCAATGCTACAGCATAAATCAGTACGGTACGAACCTGAAAGTGCTAAAATTTAACTAGATCAGCACTTACCCAGTGGAAATAGTGTGGATAAGCAAGAAAGGAGCATTTCTTAGGCAGCTAATCATACTTTTCTGGTTCAAACGGTAGAGGCAGTAACGAAAGATGTTCTGCCTTCTATTACAATCGGACTTCTTTTTTCCGTATATTCCGTGAGATTCGGAGATTTTCCTATCTTCGCTTCCGCCGAGTCGATTCTGATAAAATTATACCAGTCGATAGCATTTTCTATGCTGATCACGAATTTCACATTCACATGTGGCTAGAACGTCGCAGTAGTGCACTAGAGGAGCTGCACGTATTTTGGGAAATAATAAAAAATTTAAATTATAACTAACAAAACATTGTGCGCCCAAATCCTAATTTAGTTCTAAGAAATGAATAAGCATGTAAAAGTAAGAAAAATAAAAAATTGTGTATTCTGAAATTTCTTTTAAAATAAATCGTAGCTACAGTATCCATGTCAATCAAAAACTATGATAAATAGTAACTTCCATTTTTGTGCAGTTCTCACTCAACGCTGATCAATCAACAAGTTTAAGATATAACGATTCTCCATTTTTTTCAAACAGTTACGCCAATAACTTCTTATCTTAGCAGGACGAATATTTAATTATTTTTTCAGCATATAACCGTGACCCTTTTCTATTCTTCGTATAAATCTAATGTGCTAACACCTAATGATACTGAAATACAGATCTTTTAAAATGACAGATCGTGTTTGAAATCGAGGTCCTTTCGTAACTCAGACTAGGAATGTTTTTGAAACTTCTGCCAAATGTACGGTGGTGCTTGTCAATCATTTATGCAAAATTTGCTAATTAATTACTATACAGTTACAAAAATCCATTGAGAATGAGTGGACACTAATATAACAAACTGAGGAAGGCGAGCTTGAGTAACTAAAAGTCACTCTTCTACTATGCCTTCTACGGTTAATATGCATCATAATCATTCAAAAGTATAGTCGTAGTGAGGACAATAATCATAAAAAGTTTAATTCACTAGCTATTATAATTCGTACTTTACGGGGTGCTTTTACTTTTGTAGAGCATCGTATGTGATGTATTTACTAATTTGTACATTATTTTTTCTTGAGTAAAAATACATGTGAATAACGCATATTGTAGATTATTTCGGTGTATGAAAACTTGAATCAAATACAAACCATCTTTTGTCTCATACTAGATTTGGATAAATCGAAACTATATCAGTTTATTAGACAACTATAATAATAGTTAAAAGCACCGGAGACAGACAAAAAATTTGCAAATACAAATGTCATTCATATGAATTTCATAAATAATGTAATGACCAAGCTCAGTGTACAAAGTGTAAAAAGTGGCAATAGTAGATTTCTGATAAGCAAACACACACACACACACACACCCTGAAACAAAAAACCAAACAACAGCATAGTTCAATTTTCCTGTGAGTATATGTACAAAAAATAATCAAACTGATGTAAATCTGGCGAAACTATAATGAATATTTGATAAAATTCTCAAGATAGTATCGAAGAGTCAATAGTGATAGATTGATTAATTCCAACCAGATATATTATAACAACATATACCTAAAATGATAGATGAACAAATTAATAAAAGTTTACATAAATTTTCGTAAAGTGTTAGATACTGGTTTTGGTTAGTTATCGAATAGTGAAATTGTCTAAAAAATTAAAGGAAAAATGGAGCTGTGAAAGTCCGTCCTATAAAATGTTTTTCTTTCTAGACCATACAATAAATTTCAACGAAACTTTTAGGACAAATATTCTGATGGAAATAAGTTATCTTAAAAATTTGAGCTCAAATTGTTGAAGAGTTATCGGCAGCCTAAGGTGCACAATGGGCCAGTTGATATGGTACACTTTTTTCAGTTATGGTACTAGATGTAGAAGTGAAGTAGAGTTAGTTGTAAACGAATCTAGACACTTCAATCTACAACTTGATGTGAATAATTTTTAAAATTTGCTTTCTTAAGCTTTGTGACATGTATTTCAAATTCCGCTTTTTTCACTTTGTTACAATTTTTTTTCTCATATGAAAAAAAATTGTTTAAACTCGTTTTCTTAAAAATGTTAGAAAAAACGAAAAGAAATGCTGAAGAAAGTCTGCACAAATTCCTCTCTTTTAAAAAGCATATTTGTGTTCCACAACTAGAAAAAACATAATAAAACACCATTCTTCTTTCCGAGTTTCGAACCGTTTCTGAGAGAAAAGCGTGTTTTACGGTTTTTTTCTCATTAAAATAACACGTTTTTCATCGTTTTATTATAAAAAAATTAATATTTCGCGTTTTGGTAAAGACTAATTTCATAGAAAATTTGGTAATGGACATCCTTCCTTGGAATAAAGGCGAATTCAAAAATCATCTGCGTCAATCTGAATTTTTTTTCGTAATTGTTGAAAGCAAAAATCTTATTAGAATGTGTCGAATCGTTATGGAGAAGGATTAGAAAAAACGTTGTTAGTGTAATTTAGAACTTGTAGGAGCATGCCATTTAGGACAAATCGTCTCAAATTCGTACGAAAACTTTAGCCAGAGTAGAAGAAAAAATATATATAGTTTTTAAGGTTATTTGTTGGTAAATGTGTCGCAATTTCGAGTTTCGTTGAAAAAAGATTTATTTATAGGAAGGACTCTCAGATGAAGTTACGTTCCCGCACAACGAAAGCGAGCATTAAGTAGCAATAGGGTTAGTGGGGTGCACGGCTTTTTACGATCGAAGGGAACGTATAAGAGAAAAGTAGCCAAGCATGAGAGCGACTCTTGGTAGGAAAATCGTACGGAAGAACGCCACCTCTGTCTCCCTTCCGAAATTCATTTCTATTATATGAGTGCGTAAGCAAACAGCAGAGATAGTTACAGAAGAAAAGCTAATATTTACCATTGATGGGTACATAAAAATAACGTTCAGCGATCAGAGGAAAGTAATTACTAAATAACGATTTTAATCATCATTTGGTTGGCGCTATAGCAAGAAAAGATGCAATATATAGCTAGATGTCGATTCAAGGGAACAAGAAGAGACAGTATGGGATATAGGAAAAATAATACAGGTTCGACAAGGTAATCAGAATAAAACATTGCTAGCAGTTACATTATCTTTGGGATAAAATATTAAAATTGTGTGGTATAGCATCAGTTCGAAATAAGCAGTATCTTCTACACCAAATGTTAAAGCAAGCTTAAAGAAACTATTGCAAGGAAACAAAATAAGAAATAATTATCAATTCATCATCTTCTAATTTCTCTGTCAAAACATTATTAAACAAGAAATGTTACTGTGAATTGCTCAAAACTCTAGATTAAATAGAAAGCTGGATTTTTGTTTCAAAAAAAGTCACTTATTTATCATTTTTATACCGATTCGACTGTATTTTATAAAATAATCAAATGGAATCCAAGTATAAGAGTTTAGTGAACAACTGTTCTAGTGTGTTTTTTTCTTATGTCGAGTATTTTGTGGTAATTTCGATTCAGACGGAAATTCGAGTTGAGCTATAATTAATTCATTCATCTCTTTTACTATACGTAATTCATTTTGAAGCTGAAAATCAAAGACAACAACATTTATGGACAAGAATTAGGCACAGAAAAAAAGCATCAAAATGGAAATATTGAAGAAAAAAAGACCTCGCAATTATGTTGTATGTTGTTGTCACTCATTAGAATCACCATGACGAATGTTAGAACGAATTGGTGGTGTATGACCAAGTTTTCGAAATATCATATCTACGTCTTCTTCGCGCTATTTTTCGAAAAATAATAAATTCAACGTCGTATTGCCAGTAAACAATTTTTTTGTTGACAAGTACAACTAACTTACAGTAGCTTTTTCAGTCTCTATAAGATCAATGAGATACGTTTTTAATGCTGAAAAACTATCCAGATGACGTACACTTTTATCATTCACCTGCTGTTTTAGCTTAGAACAAGTAATGAAATGAAAGAAAATAAAACTGCAATTTGACAGACAAAACATGGCTACAGTAAACTGTACCTCAGCAACTTGTTCTTTCACAAGTAACTAAAAATTTGTTAGGAAGAAAAATCATTAGCATATAATTCATAGATTAGAAAAATATGAATTTAAAGGTATGTATTTCTTCCTGTACTTACATAATCGACATCTTGTTGTGTTACTGGTTTTGTAGTACTCGAGCCAAGTAATCGTTGTACTTGTGCAAGTTCTTTACGCATCCTTTCCATTTCATCTTTCCTAAAAAATACAAAAAAAGTAACAATACTACAATCGCTAATCTACACAAGGTCAACGTTCGTTTCTTACGTTTTGAAGTTTTCATCTTGTGAATATTTCATACATTCTTGTCGAGTACTTGTTAATTTTTCATTGAGATTAAAAATCTGAAATGGTTGTATTACATATACGATTAAGTATACAAACTTTTCAGACATATATTGGCAGTAATGATGTAAGAGCATTTATTTCTTTTATTATTACTAACGTCAAAATTTACATTGTAAAAGAAAAATACTTACATCTTGTGGAGTTGTATCGCGCATGGTTATTAGACGAGATAATTTTTGTTCAACTTCACGTTTCCATAATTCTTGTTCACCATTTTTTTCTCGCATTTGAGTTTGTAATACTTGTTCGTTCTATAAATAAAATTCAAAAACTTGTATCAAAAATAAAATTCTCACAAAAGAAAAAATAGATATAAATTTAAATTTATAAATATAAATACAAATTAGATACTGTTATAATTAAAAAGAGTAGTAAAAGAAAAGAAAGGAATTTGGGTAATCTAAAGTTTGTCTATGAAATTTCTTAATACTTACTTCTAATACATCTGCTATCTATAGAACCAAAATTAATATTATAGTGTGTGTATGTGTGTGAATTGTACTTATTTTACACACAAAAAAAAACTTACACTATTCATTTTCTGATTTATTTGTTCTTCTAATATATTAAGATCAACGCGTATACCATTCACACGTTGTTCATTTTTAGCTATTGTTTGCAAAAGTGTTTCTTCTTGATGCTGAAGAGATGTTTGTACATCGATTCGTAACTTTGAAACAACAACGATTTACAATAAGCGTATACTGAGATAGTAAAAGCTTTTCGAAAAAAGAAAAAGCAAGATATGCAGAAAATAAGCAGCAACATAATCATACTTTTTCAGTTATATCACGTTTGGCATTTGTAAGATCATCGACAGTTGACAACGTAGAAATTTTAGTAGACAAATCACGTACAATAGCCTCATCTTCTTTTAGTTTTTCATTTGTATTATGTAATTTTGTTTCAATATTCGTCTGTTTTACGGCCACTTCGTCCAATCTTCCGTTCAATGTTCGTAAACTTAATTCAGATTCACGATGAGCATTCTCAGATAGTTCTAATCGTCGATTTAGATTAATTATTTCAGGTTTATTACTCTAAAAATAAAAAATCAATATCGTTTTGACTTGAAGAAAAATAATTTTCTTACCAAATCTTTCATTTCTGCTATACGATGATTAAAACTTGTTAAAGATGATTGAATATTACCAATTTGATAGCTTAATTTTTCATCTGTTTTTACCAATGAATCAGATATTTCTTTATTTTGTAATTTTCTTAAAGAATAATAGTTAAAAAAGAACTTTTTATAATATAGTGTAACATTTACCTTGATTTAATTTCAGCATCAAGTACTTTTTCCACTTTACGACGATTTTCATCCGTATGTTGTTCAATTAGAGTAATACCATCATTTAATTTTCTCAATGATTCGGCACTTTTTCGTGTTAGTTCCTGACAAAAAAAAAAAAGAATGCAATGTTCAAATGACTGATCAAGAGTCAACTAAAAATGTTTGTGTTCTGTTATGTGCAAGGTGTATGTGCAATTTTAGTGTGATTGTTAGCTATATTAATGTTGCACAGTAATACCCTTATTTCATTATTTGCTCTTGTTTGTCCATCAACTATAGTCGCTTTTATTATATCTAATTGATTTTCTACTTCTATTTGTACAACTTGCATGTGTCGTTGACGTTGTTCAGATTCTAACGCTAATGACTTGATAATCGATAGGATATAAACTAAATTTTATTTTCTCATATATATGAGAGAATATTTACCTTTTCATATTCTTTTGATTTAAAATCAATATCATCTTTTAAACGTTCTAATTTGTCTGTTGTTCTCAACATTAATTGACTTGCACTATCATTTATTTCTTGACGTAATTTATTTTGTATTTGTTCATTTTGATTACCAGTTTCACGTTTAATAATTTCAACAGTTTTCAATATTTCTGCTTGTGCTGAACGTGTAACATTTAAAGATGATTGCACTTCATTTACTCTAAAAAATAAAAGAATAAAAAATATTTTACTAAAAATTCTTTTCCTAATAAATATACTTTGATGCCAATTGTGTTTCAACTAAACGACGATCGTCTCTATCAAAATCAATACGAGATCGTATTTCACTTATAGCATCACGATATTCATTCAATCTAAAATTAAAATACATATAAAAGTTAAACTTATATTTGATACAGAAATCCAACATACTTTAATTCTGTAGCATTACGAAATGAATTGAATAGTAAATCGCCGGCATTTATTGTTTCTTGTTGTTTTCGAAGTAGATTTTCCTAAAGATAAAATTAAAAAAAAACATATCACCAGATCGAAAAATTTTAAAAGCCTGTTCGGTCAAAATCGATTACAGATTCGTCTTCTCCATGGTTGATTATGTGGTACGCAATAACTTCTGGATCGGGGTACTTTAGAAAAAAGTTTCGATTTCGTTTTGCTTTTGGTACGGTAACTTTTTGAAAAATTTTTGAGCAAGATCATAGAAAATTTTTTTTTTAAAGTACCCCAATCCAAAAGTTATTGCGTAACACGTAACACACAATCAACCATGAAGAAGACGAATGTGAAATCGGTTTTGACCGAACAAGCTTATAAAATTTTTCGATTCGGTGATATGACAGAAAACAAACGTTTTTTTCACATGTATAAGACGATGATTAAGAAGTTTTATAGTTTAATCGTTAAGTAATAATTACAGTGGCATGAGTATCTTCATCTAACTTTCTTGTTTTTTGTCTTAATTCTTGCGTTAATGATTGTACACCAATTGCATCAACATCAATTTTATTACGCACGGCGCGAATATCCTCAATCATATTCAATTCTGTTTTTTCCAAATTTTCACTTTGTTGATTTAAAGTTTCAATTTGTTTTCGAAGTCCGTCAATACTAAAAATAGAGTATACACTATTGTAAGAGAAGATTAGACTCTATTTTCCTATCTTTCTACCTTTGAGCATTAGAGTCACGTTTTAATAAATATTCTTTTTGAACCGACATTATATTTTGTTCAACACCTTTAACATTGGCGTTAATTGTTTGATACGATTGATGATCGTCATTAGATGCATCTTCATTACGTTTAATTCTTGATGTCAGTTGTAAAATAACATCATTTTGAATTCGAACATTGTTTTCAATTTGTTGACGTGATAAACGCTCTTCTTGTAAAATATCTTGACTTCGACGAATCTTAAGTGGAAAGAAAATAGTAAAAAATTATGATTTGTGCATGTATATACAAATAGACTAATGTAATTATATTACCGCACTAAAAAGTTCGGTTTGTAAACGTATAACTTCTTCTAATAAAGTTCGATTTGATATTTCTGTTACTTGTAATCGACTTTCCAATTGTTTGATTTTATACAATGACTGATTAATCGATTCATCAAATCTTTAAAAATAATCCAATTTACAATAAGTATAATTTGAAAAAGTTCAAACATTTGTTTTCTAGTTTCTTACGCTATTTGTTGTGGTACAGGACGGAATCGATCGGGTTGATTCATGGATTGAGAAGCAATCGGAGGTAATAACGTAGGATATCTATTATCAGCTGATGGAACTATCTGTGATGAATTAGCTGGCATGGGACTAAAAAATAATTCTTGTACGTGATTGCTTATTCATTAATATTAAGTCAAAAAGTGAGTTAAGTCATGGGAAATGTAGTTTTACAGTTAAAGGCTGAAAACTTAAGTCATTGACGCATTTTTCGAATATCTCAAGCATTTAACGATACGATTCGACTAAAACGACTCTTTAAGGTTTAGAGAATAAATATTTCGTTATTTTGCGGGTTTTTATCCTAAATTTATCACTGTTATCAACAACGTTCAAGAAGTAAACAAATCACCAAGTCTTTTCGTAATACGATTTAAGTCCCCGAACTTAAGCCAGTCTTAAACTTAGACTGAAGGCTTAAGTCGATGACTTAAGTTTTTTCGTAACACGACCACTTGATAGAAACTTACGAGCGAGGTATTTCATCGACGGTAATCATTCGTTGAGGACCAGGTCTCCTAGGTACCTCCATTTGAACTCTATATCTTCAAATAGAATGCATATAATACAATTTATCATTAAAATTGATATAAAGTACATTTTGAAAGATAAACATAGAAGTTTTATTACTTCTCATTACTGAGGATAAGCTAAGGTATATTTTAAATTTTTCTACTAGTTGATATCTGACGTAAGCAAGTAGTAACTAATAAGAGTCCGTTGTATTAAAATCTAAGCAATTGAGATATTGTTTATTCCTAATTATTAAAATTTAGGATGACCTTTCTGAAAACATTTTAGTCTTTCATTGAAACTAGTCGTCAAGGCTCTGGAGAAGAGATAGGGACAAGCGAGGATATCTATTACAGAATAGACTAAAGTCATACCATGATGTAAGTAAAGTATCCAGAAAAAGAGCAATAGTCTAAGAATCTATTTAATTACTTAAGAAATTTCAAGTGGATGTAATCTGATAATTAAAATATTTAACCATTAGAATTGGTCTTTAAATCTGTTGCTAAGCAATAATTGCTACGTTTACTATATTTTAAAGTGCGTACATTTCTCTTCTTACTGATTCGATTGTCAATCGATCAATCATATGCGATTGACTAATTTGAGAAACTCATCTGTTTTTTTGTCGCATCTTCGGCCCATGATCGAACAGTATATGATCTGTTTTTGATTGAAGGGGGACTGTACTATTTCTGATTCAAACTAAAAAGAAAATTGTTTACATGGGGGAGATCAAACCGTTCAAAAATCAAGATTATGAAACACTAAAATCTCAACATAATTCGACAAATTTATTTACAGATCCTACGTTTCCTGCAAATAATAAATCTTTGTATCATAGTGGTAAACAGCCAAAGGATATTCAATGGTATCGACCGACAGTAAGTAAAAAGATTGGAACCGTATTTAAATATTAAATTTCTCTTAGAATCTGTTCTGAGAAATATTTTAATCATATCTTTTACATTACTTTTTATTGTTTAGAAAGTATATAAAAATCCTCAGTTTGTTGTTGATGGATATCAAAGAGGAGATTTAGACCAGGGTGAAATAGGTAAAAAAAAGAACATGTTTTATTGTAGAACAGAATTACTCATACGACTGTTTTGTTTAGGAAATTGTTGGTTCATTGCGGGCGCTGGAGCAGTAAGAGAATGAAGTGATATGGTTTCTGTGATATAGAATGTGATTTGTGTTTTTATTTTTCTGTAGGTTACACTAAATCCTGACTTACTTGGGAAGGTCGTTCCATGTAACCAATCATTTAACGAAGACGAATATGCTGGTAAGTGAAGAGTAGTGAGTGAATATTCAAAATTTTTTAAAAATTGCATGTTTAACTTCTTTTTTTGTATTCAGGAATATTTCATTTTCGTTTTTGGATGTATGGTGAATGGTTCGATGTGGTTATAGATGATTTACTTCCATTTCATTCAGATGGACGTTTAGTGTTCTGTCGAAATAAAAAGGATAAAAATGAGTGTTGGGCGCCACTATTAGAAAAAGCTTATGCAAAGTAAGTAAGATGTTTCATACATAATTGTACAATTATATAAACAGAAAAGCTGAAAGTTTTTTAATAATTCAAACGGTTCGTCGTTGATATTAGACATTAATTTTTTTATTTTCAGAGTCTGTGGTTCATATGAAGCAATGGAAGGTGGTTTTACAACTGATGCTCTTATTGATATGACAGGTGGAATTGAAGAAGCATTCGAGTTAAATGGAGTAACCACCCCAGATTTTAAAGATCAAGTAAAACGTGTTTTATGGCAAGCTTATTTGAGAAAGTCAATGCTAGGATGTTCGATAACAGTATGTATACATTTTTTTTCGAATGATTTCTTTGACCAATTGAATGTTTTCAGGCTGATCCAAACGTAACTGAAGCACGACTTTCAAACGGTTTGGTCAAAGGGCACGCATATTCAATAACACGAGTGGCTGATGTAACGTCAAATAATGCATCTATCACTCTCGTACGATGTCTAAGTTAGTTTGTGTCACTAGTATAATATAAAAGAAATGATCGTGAAAATATGTATTTTAGATCCATGGGGAAACGAAACAGAGTGGAATGGTGCATGGTCAGATAGGCAGGTTTTTCTCCTATAGAAAAAAACCAATATTCGAAATTTTATGTTTACTTAGTTCACAATTATGGAGTACAATCAGTGCTGAAGAACAACATGAGCTATCAGTCAGGGCACAAGATGGAGAGTTCTGGTCTGTCTTTTTTTCAGGTGAAACTATGTAATTTCCATCACATTTTTTTCCATCAATTCAGGATGAGTTATGATGACTTTTTTAAAAATTTCCATCAACTGCATATTTGTCACCGAGGTCCAGCTAGTTTGGGAACAACTGAAGGCGATGCCGAAACAGTAAGATGGAATGTATTGACCGTAGAACAATATCAAACTTACGTGCATATATTTCATTTTTAGTGTAGTTGGAGTAATTTATTTCGAGATGATAAATTAACTTGGAAAGAAGAAGCGTTTCATGGTGAATGGCGTCCAGGTGTTTCTGCTGGAGGAAGTGGACAAACAGGAAAAGAGAAATATTGGACAAATCCACAATATCTTGTTAAAGTAAATTATACTGATGATGGTGATGAACAAAATTTGTGTACAATGATTATTGCACTCATGCAAAAAGAGACACGATTAAGACGTATACAAGGAAAAGAAGGCGAAGATTATGTACAATTTCGTGTGTTTAAGGTATGTGTAGTTCGAGCGTATATTATTTTACAATGAGATTGAGTTGATTATTGCTTATATTTGTATTTCTCTATTTATAAGAGACAATACATTGAGGTTACGTGTCTATTACGTTTAAAAATTACTTATAGTATTCATCTAGGATAATTTTCCTTTATGAGGAATGATGAACTTGAATCTATTATTATGGTAGATTTTAGATTGCCTTGTTGTCTGTTGATAGATCTACCCATAATTTATGTCCATCTATTAATTCGTCTTATCGTTAAACATCTTAAATTATTTGTTGACTATCTTTTGTAAAGAAATAAATTAAATATACTGTGAAAAAAATAATGGCAAAACTATTACAAAGTGACGGTGATGATGTTTCATCATCGTCTTATTGGTATGAAATTTACTGTATGAAAGTGTGGCATTGCTAAACTTTCAGTGTTATAATAGTACACTTTATTTTGATCTTTAAAATCTGGGGTGGTTACTCCATTTAACTCGAATGCTTCTTCAATTCCACCTGTCATATCAATAAGAGCATCAGTTGTAAAACCACCNCCCCGCCCCCGCCCCCCCCCCAACAAATCGATTGAAAATTCAACAGTATTAGAAAAGTGTGAGTTTTTATTTCATCTTTCTTACTATTATTGCTATTAAGCCAATTCAAACACCATTCGAAAGAGCAGATATTTTTGAATATCACTATATATAAAAATAATTAATATAACAGACTGCTCAGATTTTATAAAAAAAGAAAATTTTTTGTCATCTTAAAGTGTTGTGTTTCTAGCTCATCAAAAACGACGTTACAAGTTTGGAAATCTAACTCTATTATTGTACCGATCATAGTTATAGGCTTCAAAACGCAAAGGTTTACGTACTATTCGTTAACTGAGATCAAAATTAAAAAGTGAATTTGTTTAAGAGTATTCCTCGTCCTCTTTTTGTCAAAATTTTGATTTTCGAGTTAGATGTGGCACAATATACGGTTAAGTGTCCTCTATATAATGAGACGTCGCTCAACTCTCTATGATGCTTCCTTTTCGAGATATACATTTTTTAAAATAGGTCACTGGAGAGGAATACTCTTAAACAAATTCACTTTTCTATTTAAGACCATCGAGAAGGAAAATCGTTTTTACAAAGTTTGAATAGTCTTGTGTACTAGTTATTTTTATATGTAGCGATGTTCAAAAATATCTGCTCTTTTGAATGGCGTTTAAACTGGCTCTCTAGCATTATTAGTAAGAAAGATATACGAAAATAAAAACTCAGGGTTTATTTTTCCTCAACTCGGTAAGCATAAGACAAAAAAAGTAAAAAGTACAATGACCAATTTTGTTTTTTTCTATTTTTTTTAAAACAAGAACGATAACTTTTGAAACAGAAAATATCAAATTGAGGAAAAGTGCGCACCTAAAGTACGAAAAAGTTACTACAAGTATACCTGAAAAAGTGTTTGAGGAACTGTACTAAAAATACTGATTCTAACTGATCATTCAATTGTCAACTCAGAAAGATCAGTATCTTTATTTCATCTCTATTAAAACTCAGAATCAACTTGTTTATGTGAAATTTCGATTTTTGTAGTTCAATAGATTCTTTTATCAATAGCACGAATATGAGTCAATGTTTCATAGATCAGTGTTGTTCTCAACAAGATTAAACGTTGAGCTAAACTAAAGCGTAGAGTATATTTTATCTGAACAAATCATATTTTTCCTAAGCAAGAAAAGATAATAAATGAACTATAGTCAAACTGCTGTGTACACTATTTTACAAAAATAATTATTCATCACTTTTCAAAACAATGTTTATTTAAATTAGAGCAAGTTTACAATATGTTTTTACAGTATAATTTGTTTCACCATGTGAAATAATTTCTTCAGAGAAATGAAAACTATTTATCGTTCAATATCTCATGATACAGATAAAAAAATGAAACAATTGGCATTAAAAGTCTATAATTTGGCATAGTCAAAAACTATAAGCTCTTACTTTAGTCGATGTGGATTAACACAAACGTATAGATGAAAGTTATGAAATAGGGACATAAAAAGAGTATGAAATACTGATTTCAAATATTGTAAAAATATATTGTAAACTTACTCTAATTTAAATAAAAATTGTTTTGAAAAGTGATGAATTATTTTTACAAAATATTCTATTTCTTATTTATCCAAAAAACGAAGACTTTTTCCGTTATACTATCAAAATGTTTAGTAAACTTCAGTTTTGAATATGGATAGAATGCGTAAAATGTAAAAACTTGCTATCTTCATTGAACACAGTCGGATCTAGAAGAAATAAATCTTGGAACGCTATAGGATAATAATGAATAACTTCGTAAACGTAAGAAGAATGAACGAATACAATCAATGGATGAATATACATGTAAATTTTTCATGATTTCTAGTAGAAAATTAAATCATATGATTTTTAAACAGAGATAATTCTTAGCGTTCAATTATATTCGATAATTTGATATTCATTTTTATCACTTATAAATTATTTTCATATCTTCGTTGTAAGTCTCTTTGTGCATGTTCCAATTCTATGAAATTAATTCATCATAAATGATATAATACCTGTAGTATTCTAATAATATTGACTGATTTATCCGACTATATTTTTTACTAATTTTCTCATTTACTTTGACTTATCGATTCGGCAGCAACGTTTGCGAGTTCATTTTCATGAAGAAAATCAAGAACGTAATTTTTTTAACAAATACAAGTGCTTTTATCTTTAAATATGCGTTTGTACTTCATTTGTATAACAAGAACATAGACTTTTAAAAGAAATATATGATGTAGATCCGTATTTTCTAGATCATGAATAATGTGGATGTACGTGATAATATTGAACAAGGAAATTTAAAATTTTACATGTCACAATTGGAGCGAGTCGGAGCCTCAGGCGCCTACATCAATAGGTATGTAATGTTTTTACTGTTAATAGTTAATTTTATAAAATGAATTTTTTATTTAGACGAGAAGTGACAAAACGATTTCGAGTCCCGCCAGGTCACTATATTATTATACCGAGTACTTATGATGCCGATAAAAGCGGACGCTTTTTATTACGAATATTCACTGAAAAAGAAGCTGATCAAGCGTAAGTTCTAGCTTGTCTTTCTTTGATGCTTATCAATGACTAAATCATCTTTTTCTTTAAAAAATCTCTATGTTAAATATATAATTTAAAAACAAATCGATTCGTTAATTTTTTAGATCTACTGGGTAAGTTTATTGTCAATGTTATACTTTCTTTAGACGCTTTTGTAGATGTTTTTTCTTGCATGTCTATTATTTCCTATTATTATTTAAAGCTTCATGACTCGTATCTACGTGTCCATTTTCAAAATGTGTTTCACCGATTGTTTTAACGCTTTTCCACTTCCTTTGAAGATTGCATTCGTTATTTACACACATTAATTTTTTATGTTTGAAAGTGTACATTCTAACATCTTTGATAAAGTGACATGGGCAACTTAATCAGCGTTATCGATCGATTAAGTGGTGGTAGGGGGTGCAAATCCATCCTCTCATTTGGATAAAGTTGCTAAAAAAATTTTGACTTAGAAATTTTTTTTTAAGAAATTTAAGTTGAGAAACTGACTCTTATGCATCTGAGTAAGTTTCTTCAACTAACTGAAGAGACTATCAGTCTTCAATTAGCTTAAAACATGTAGTTAGTCAGAAAAAATTTTTAGTCAAAAAATGAGCCGAGTTTATAATAAAATATTATTATTCTTGTTTTGTTTGTTTAGGGAAATGAATCAAAACAAGGAAGATCTTGTATGCCTTTTTTTGTGTTTTTATCATTATTCTTAGTATTAAAACATTATTTTTTATTTCATTTAGACTGAATCGGATATATTTTTTCAAGATGACAATGTTGATAATTTATTTGGTGAATGGACAAACTTTTTACCCGGTGGTGATAGTGAAGATGGAGGTAACGAACCAATTAATCCGGATATTGGTGGTGCTTTTCCATCGCCTCATCCAGAAAAACCGAGTAATATTGATCTGGAAGATGATGATCAAATGTATCCACAAAAACGATTTTGTTCAATTATGTAATACATTAGATAGATGAAAAACGAGAAACATTATGCATTTTTAATTAAAATATAAGGAAGGATTCTCATGTCTGTTAAATCTATTTTCATGACAAATTTGTTTGCTACTTCGTATTTATTTATTTATTTTATTTTTTTTGCTCTATTTGCTCAAGTAATTTTTTTGTAGCTTTTCTAAAGATTTATTTATCTATAAAATACTCGTTTTATATAAATGACAATAACTTTTTCAACTGATGTCTCGTTAATACCGGTGAATTGTGACACATATTTTAAAGTAATTTCTCATTTATCTTGTTTATCATTGATGTGTAATAGAATTTTATTGATAGAAACGATAAAAAATAGACAACAGAATGAAAGTAAAGAAATATAAATAATCAAATCGGATGGAAATAAGAAGATGACCTATAAGTTAATGGACTTTCTTTTTTTCTAAAATTGCTGAAATAAATCATCTGTAAGACATTTATAAGAAATCGTATTCTTCTTGAGATAAAATACAATGGAATCTCTTCTTTTTTTCTTCTAAATGTACGTATTGTCTTTGTGATCTCGGTTCTAGGTGAGTACACTGATGGGTAAAATAAGACGTGAAAGGACAAAAATTCATTATACAGCGCCCAAAACTTTAGATTTACAAGTAAGCAGCACTTTATCACTAAATTATTAAAGGTAGATGAACTGATTTTATTTTTATTTTTTTTGTTATAGAATGATGAACAAATTGATGAACCGAATCAAGTTGATGTAATCGAAGAAGAACTCGAGCATAATTCGAATGATTTTGATAAACGAAGTGTTATATCGAATAAAACATTAAAATCATTAGTGGCAAAGAAAAAAGATAAACAAAAATTAAAACACGAATTATTTATGAAAAGTAACTATTACCATTGTTTTATTGAAATTAGAACAAATGAAATTATTCATATATTCTGTGATTCTTAGCGGAGCCAGTTTTTGCTAAAATTTGAGCGAATAACAGTTTAGTACTGATGCATTATAACGGCAGGATCCCATTAGATACAATTGTCCAATTTACTGACAGTGTTTTCTATTTTATATTGCCTTTCTAGGACTTGATACAGCCTATACAGCCAAAAAACAAGAGAAAGAAAGAAATGCAAGAAAGAAAACGGTTATTGTCAGTGATATGAAATATGAATTTGAACAATCATTACCACAAATTGAAAAATATCTTGATCAACAACGTTTATCAATTGAACAGAATAAATCAACGAAAAACAATAGAATACCAACTCAAAAGAAACGTATTGAACAATTGTAAGTGTAAATTTTATAGCTATTTCAATGATTGCAGGACATTTCGTTAATCTATCCCGTTGCAACATTTCTAAATAAAAATGTACTTTTACTGACTTATTTTTATTTTTTAGTCAAACAAACGTACAAATATTTGATGATGTTCTAAAATCAAAAAAATATCTTAAAAATCCATTCAGTGTTATCAAGAAGAATTTAGAAGAGCAAATTCAATTGACGAAAAAATAATTCATTCTTTGTTTTTTTTTCTTCAGAAAAATTATTGTTTCTCTTTAGTATTGTTACTTTTTTGACAAAATACATAGGGTATTGGTGACTGAATGCAACTATTCATGTTAGAAAATATTTTTTATTTCGATGAAAAGGAACCTGTGATAATACACTGAAAAGAGCAAGTGAACAACAAAAAATTTAAAACGTTATTATATTTTTTAAAATCTTTCGCGAAGATTGATTTTTAATGAGATTTGTGTGAAATCAGGTTTGGATTTTGGAAATTGCCATACAAATATTTTCGTTTTCTTTCATGGATAGATAGTCCAAAGTATTGTCTCCAAAATGGAAACTAAGCTTCTTAATTTTTCGTGGTTTAGGCGTGGCCTCGACTTCCTTGTGAGCTTCTGTATTGGCGCTCCAATACGGTGATGGTAATCTTTTGTTGTGGTAATCTTGAAGATGAATGAAAACATAGGTTATCCACTATGTCGAACCTCTTAGTAATACTTTGTCTCAAGAAAATTCAAAAACCTAGTAATAGCCCATATTCGGTGAAATAATCCACGTTTTGCAATTGGTCATCAAAAACTAAAAAATTCATAACTTAGTCAAAATCGATCCAAACTACTTGTAATTTGTCTAAAGTTGAATTGAATTGAATTTTTATACTTAACAATTTCTAGGTCAGAACGCAAGATTCATCAAATAAGACATTGTATTTAACTAATGCTATTCCAGTTGAATAAACAAAAATAAGTCCAAAAATTCATATTTGGTTTATACATAGAAAAATGCAGAATTGAAAGGGCTACACAATGAGCTATAAACACATTGTTTTAAAAGTTTGCCTTCATAGATGTATTGGACAAATACTTGACTGATATCTCGATTTTTTTCCTATAGTAGCACAGAAAAAATGCTTATAGTTTCTCCTACAGACAGAGAATAGGCATAGTTTGTATATAGAAAAATACAAAAAACGCTTTTCAAGGAGATCTCTGGAAAACCATTTCCTAACTTGAAAATGCTGTAGCCCTTTCAATTCTGCATTTTCCTATGTATAAACCATTCCGGGTCTGAGTGCACTGACAAAATTATATCCATTTTATTATATTCAAGGAGGGTTACATATACGGGAAGCAAATGGTCATAGATAATGTTTGACCTTGATGTTTGGCCTTTGATGAAGGCATTAATTTGAAAAGATGTGCTATAGATTATTTTAAAGCCCGTGTAATTACGTATGTTTTCGTCTATAAGATTCTATTAAGAACATCCAACTTGCTGAGAAAAATGAATAAACACGATCGGACAGGCTTTTTGGATCGATGCTCAGAAATAGGCCTGTGACAGTTCGCGTTCAATGATCGGGAATAGTTCACCATTTTCAGTTCCTGTGAATGGAAACTACAGTTCTTTTTTAACTGGAAACTGTATGGTATACTTGAACTTCTTTTTCTAATCTACTGGCGTTCTATCTCCGTTATCATGTTAGTGCATTTTACGGTTCAATATGAATACGACGGTTTATCTGATGTCGTTCCTTTACGTACTTGTTTCTGGGCAAAATTTCACAGAGATACTAACAATCAAAATAATAAAAACTACCAATATTTATACTTTGTCTATCAAAAACATAGACATTCTCGTTGTCGCTGAAGTTAGTGACAGTCGATTTTTTCTTGTAAATTTATTAGCTTGCGAAAATGTACTTTCGCTAGTTACACTTGTAGCTGGTCTTGTCCCGTTCATTGAACGTCAACTGAAAAATAGTTTCTATTATCGAGAAACTGCGGTACAAGGAACTATGAACTGTCACAGGCCTACTCAGGAATGATTAAAAATTTCTGCATATGGTAGTCTACAATCAACTTTTAAGCCGCAAAAATATTAAAAACTAAATAACGAACGATTCCCGATCAGTTTCAGCCGTCATCTTCTCAAAAATATATAGCGCCATTTTCTTGCAGAAATCATTCCCTGCCCTTTAACATACTTAAGTCAAACAATAAACGGTTGTATTTGTCAATATTTACTGACAACGAATTGTGCTACTTGCACATTTTACAATTAGAATTCTACTTTTTATCGAGTAAATACAAATGTTGAAAAAAATTAAGAATATGGTGTTAAGAACAGAAAATTCCAGATATAATCTGAGAATCAAAGAAAAAGTTGACTATTCAAAATTAATAAAAAATTAATAAGAAATAATTCTTTTTCTATGGTATAACCTTAACGTGCTGTTATTAATTTTAGATGTTGGTTGTTCTAATCTTTGTTTGTTCTATAACATTTGTTTTTATTGTCAACTGCTGATGAAGATTTTTATTAATCGAAACGTTTAGTTA